GCTTTAACTACCTTAATGCCTTGCCACATAGATTCATAGGTAATCTGACAAAGCCTACGCGCCATAATCGAACCTTCACCCACGATAAACATTCGACTGGTATCACCAAAAAAACCATCTTTGATCACGGTAATATCCAAGTTGACGATATCACCATTTTTGAGGATTTTTTGTTCGTCTGGAATACCATGACAGATGACATCGTTAATCGAAGTACAAATTGATTTCGGATAAGGGCTGTAACCTGATGGTGCATAATTGAGTGGAGCAGGGATGGTTTGTTGGACATTGACCATATAATCGTGGCAAAGACGATCTAATTCTCCCGTTGAAACCCCAACTTTTACAAAGGGTGTAATATAATCAAGAACTTGCGCAGCAAGGCGGCAGGCAATACGCATTTTTTCGATTTGTTCTGGAGTTTTGATGTGAATGTCGTTCATAATCATTTAATAAGTTGAAAGGGCAGCGATACAATCGCTAACCAAAGCGGGCCCTCGATAAATTAAGCCACTGTATAATTGCACTAAATTTGCACCCAAGGCTATTTTTTCTTGGGCATCTTGTGCTGTGGTAATGCCGCCAACACCGATGATCGGTATTTTACCAGAGAGCCTTTGAGCAAATTGACCTAATACCCAATCTGATTGTGGTTTTAGGGGAGCTCCTGATAAACCACCAGATTGTTTTGCCATAGGGTGTGTATCTACCAGTGGTCTACTAAGGGTTGTATTGGTGGCAATAAGACCGTCGATGGCTTGCTCTTGTAAAATTTTGGCAACGGCTTGAATTTCTTCATGTGTTAAATCGGGTGCGACTTTAACCACCAGTGGAACATATTTGTGATGTTCTGTGGCAAGATGAGCTTGAGCGGTTTTTAACGTATTCAATAAATGGGATAAAGCATCACCATGTTGCAATTGACGCAGATTTTGTGTGTTGGGTGAGGAAATATTGACGGTTATATAGCTGGCCAACGGATAAACACCTTTTAAACAAGTCAAATAGTCTTGATCGGCCTCTTCAATAGGTGTTGTCGCGTTTTTGCCAATATTAAGGCCGATAATCCCTCCGTTTTTAACATATTGAGATTTTTCAATATTTTTAATATAGGCTTCTAAGCCAACATTATTAAAACCCATGCGATTGATGATCACACGGTTTTCAGGGATGCGGAATATACGGGGTTTGGGATTGCCATCTTGTGCTTTTGGGGTGACGGTACCCACTTCAATAAAACCAAAACCGAGGGTGGCTAAGGCGTCTATATAACGTCCTGTTTTGTCAAGACCAGCAGCTAAACCTACCGCATTGGGAAAATGAAGTCCCATCGCCGTAACTGGTCTGCCTGGAACGGATAAAGGCTTGATCAGCTGATAAGCATAGGCCTTTTCGATCGCTTTGAGCGCATATTCATGGGCGGCTTCTGCATCCATGTGAAACAAAAGCGGTGTCAATAATGGATAAAAATCAAAGATATTCATAACTAAGCTTGCAAAACTGCATCGATTAAGTAGGGCGAGTTAATAGGGCAATCGATTCGACGTGTGAGGTATGAGGAAACATATTGATCGTTGAAACCGCTGTTAATTGGTAACCCGCATGATGGACCAGTTCACCACAATCACGGGCTAAGGTAGCAGGATTGCAAGAGATATAAACAATTTTTTCTGGCAAACCTTGGAAACGTGCTTGATGCAAAATAGACAAGGCTTTAGCAACAGCATAAGCCCCTTCGCGCGGCGGGTCGATGAGCCAGCGATCAAAAGCGCCCCATTGGGCAACATCTTCGGCACTGGTTTCAAAAAGGTTTTTAGCAAAAAAAGTCGTATGATCATCAAGTTGGTTAAACTTTGCATTGTCCAGTGCACGATCAACCAATGATTGACTGCCTTCAATACCGACAACAGCATGGCTTTTTCTGGCTAAGGGCAAGGTAAAGTTACCTATCCCACAAAACAAGTCTAATACACGATGTGATGGTGCAATATCTAATAATGTGATGGCTTTACGGATCATGACACGATTGATCGGGTGATTAACCTGCGTAAAATCAATCGGTTTGAAAGGCATGGTTACCGAGAATTCTGGTAGGGTGTAGCATAGTTTTGCAGCAGGGGGATAAAACAACTGCGCATCTTCTGGGTTTTTGATTTGAAGCCAAATTTGTACAGGGTGATTGTCCGCAAACTGTTTGAGTCGTGTCTCATCATCCATCGTTAACGGCGCCAAAATCCGTACCACAAGCGCAATATAGTGCGGTAATGAGCGATCACCCACGGCAAACTCGATTTGAGGAATTTGCGCGGCGATACTCAAACTCGACAATAGGGTACGTAAAGGCATCAACAAATCGCTTAACTCGGGTGGCAAAATCAAACAACGTGTAATATCAGCAACATAGCGACTTGCTCGTTCATGAAAACCAATCAATACCGTGCCTTTTTTGTGCACATATTTCACGCTAAAACGTCCCCGATGGCGGTAACCTAACGGTAAACCAACAATGGGTGGCATGATTTGGGCAGCTTTAACACGACCAATATGCCATAAATTGTCCTCGAGAACTTTGAGTTTAATAGCGACTTGTGCTTGATGATCAATATGTTGCATAGAGCAACCACCACACACACCAAAATAAGGGCAAGGTGGCTGGGTACGGATGCTTGACGCTTTGAGGACTTGAATTAAGTTCGCTTCAGCAAAGTTTTTTTTGCGACGCACAGTTTGGTAGAGCACCGTTTCGCCAGGTAGGGCATCGCGAATAAAAATAACCTTTTTATGATTATGTGAAGTTGCTTGGTCAAGTGAAACATCGTCAATGAACCCATTTTCAGTATCAAAAGCGGTCATAGCATCATCCGAACCACAATTATCATCAAGTTGATCTATGGTGGTGATAGGCGCACTCAAACGAGCCACCCCTTTGGCATCCATATCTAAAGACTCAATAAAAATAGGACCCTCGATGATAGGGGACTTGGGTGTAGTGTTATGACGACGTTTTCTCATCGATTATTTGAGTAAAAACAAAGGACAGGAATCAATCCTGTCCTTGATCGTGGATCAGCATTCATTAGAAATATTGGCGAATTTCTTCTGCAAGATCATAAACTGACTGAGCATAGAAAAAACTGCGATTGTAACGGGTTATCACGTAAAAGTTTTTTAAGCCAATGCGGTATTGGGTTGCTTGATTGGGCGTTGGTAAATCAATGATAAGAACTTGAGTATTGCGTTCTGCTGGCGCATGGACAGCATCGTCAAGAGTTAGTCCAGCATCTAACAAGCGACCTAATGGAATTTTTGGCAAAGCCTCACCATCAGCAACTTCTTCCATCAAATGACGATTTGCCTCATCGTTGGTCATGCGCCATTCGATGGGGCGACCAGACTCCCAACCATGTTGTTTAAGAAAGTTGCCCACGCTACCGATAGCATCAACCGCGCTACCTGATAAATCAATAACACCATCTCGATCAAAATCAACCGCATACTTGCGAATCGACGAAGGCATAAATTGCGGAAAACCTATCGCGCCTGCATACGATCCCACATAGCTAGAAATGGGTTTACGCTGCTCTTTAGATAACAATAAAAAGTTTTCAAGCTCGCCTTTAAAGAGTTCAACTCGCTGAACACGATTATGTGCCATAGGATAATCAAAGGCCAAATTGGTCAGCGCATCCAAAACTTGATAGTCGCCCATATTGCGACCATAAATGGTTTCAACACCAATGATTGAGGCAATGATCTCAGCAGGCACCCCATAGGTTTGCTCAGCTAATTTTAACTCGCTATGGTACTGTTCGATAAACTCTTTGGCAGCACGAATCCGAACAGGCTCAACAAAACGACTGCGATACACACGCCAATTCTTTGCGCCCCCTTTTGGCAAAGGTAAAACAGCTTTGATAATGCTTGAGTCAGGCTGAACAGGCGCTAAGATATTGTATACCTCGTTGGCATTCCAACGATATTTCTTAGCAAAATCATTAACAAACTGTTGGAC